TTGATGTATGTCCGTTTTTCACAGTTACCACCTTTGCAGCATCCCCATGGTCATGTGATCAGAATTCAGATGCTTGGCAACCGGCTCATACTTATGACCGTTGCTGTGTCCCAGGGACACATGATCCCCTTTTGCAGCCTTCCTTCTGACAAGCAAAGTCAATGGGGGAAGCCAGATTCACTTAACAACCGTGTGACTAACTTATCAACTGCAGTGATTCACTCAGCAACTCTGGCAAAAAGGTCGTAAAATAAGTCGAGGACTGCCTGTATGTCTTTCCTGGATGTATTAATCCTGCCCAACTCAAAAGAGACTTTTGGTGGCTTCCAAGATCTTAGCAGGAGTCCTTTTTTGATTCCGGAGAATTTCACATTAGATTTTAGATTTTCACACTCACATTAGACTAGAAAATCAAAGCATTGGAATAAAATCCAGGATATTCGTTCCTCTCTATTTAGGTTAAGCACAAGGAAAGTGGATCTTTTCTGGGTTGGGGGAATAGGAGGGCTTAAATCCCAGTTGCAAAGGAGGAGACATAAGAAACAGGAATTGTTTATGGCCAGTCTAGAGTAAAGATGGACAAGGGGTGACATGATAACAGTATTCCAATATTGGAGAGGCTGCCACAAAGAAGAGGGCATCCACCTGTTTTTCAAAGCACTTCAAGGCAGGAAAAGAAACAATGGATGGAAACTAATCAAAGAGAAAAGCAACCTGGAACTAAGCAGAAACTTCCTAACAGTAAGGACAATTAACCAGGGGAACAGCTTTGCCTTCAGAGGTTGTGGGTTCTCCATCACTGGAGGCTTTTAAGAAGAGACTGGACAGCCACCTGTCTGGAATGGTATAGGGACTCCTACTTGAGGAAGGGGTTGGACTAGAAGACCTCCAAGGTCCCTTCCAGCTCTATTCTGATTGATAAAACCCACCGATTAAACAGAAAGAAAAGTGAATCTTTTCTGGGTTGGGAGAACATGAGCTCAATTCAACCAATTTAAACCTCCCCCACCCCATTGAAGGAGGAAGGAGGGTCTTTCTTTCCATTGCCCCATATTCCCCCCCCAATCCTTAAAAAGAAAAGCCCCTCCTTTCCCTCCGTGGGGCGAGCCCCCCCTTTCCCTGCAGGCTCCCCGTCCAGCCCTGCATCCACCCGGGATCCTCGCAGGCTCAGCCACCTTCGGGGGACTCGGGGCTACCTTCCTCCTGGCCGGCCGAGGGAGAGCAGGAGCAGCCCCACCTGCCCGGAGCGGGGCCGAGGAGCAGCCTTGCCGGACACCCAGAAGTTGCACCGCCGCCCAAAATGCCCCAAGTGGGAAAAAGGCGGAAAAAACGTCAGAGCTGGGGGGGGGGGGAAGTAGGGAGAACGAGAGGAACGTCCTAGAGAGGCGCCTCGGAGGACTCCGAGCGAGCCGCCTCTTTGACTTCTGGGCAGAGTCTGGAGAGGCCGGGTGCGCTTCCCTCCCTCCCTCCCTCCTCCCCGGGATTGGGAAGAGGCGGCCGGGGATCTTCGCTCCCTGCTTCCCCCAGAAATTTGGGGGGGGGGGGACTCGGACGAGAGATCCCCTATTCAGCACCTGGCAAGGCTGAGATGGCTGTGCTGGATGGGGAGGTGGCCGTGATAAGGAGGGTCTACCTAGCCCAAAGAGGCTGCGGTGATGATGGATCCGGGCGTGGCTCCCCTAGGGAGAGAGACCGGCCTTAATCATGGCTTAATCATAGTTTACTCCCAGCCCTGCCCTGCTTTGATCATGGTTTGCTGACCGTGGCGTAACTGGTGGGTTTGTATAATTTTCCAAGCCACAAATGAGCAAGCTTTACAGAATAAAAGAGTTGAGCTTGGAGGTCTTCTAGCTCAACCCCCTGCCCAAGCAAGAGATCCTATACTATTCTAGAGAAGTAATAGTAATAATAATAGTAATAATAATAAAGTTGGAAAGGACCTTGGAGGTCATCTAGTCCAACCCCCTGCTCAGGCAGGAAAACCTAAACCATTTCAGACAAATGGCTGTCCAGTCTCTTCTTAAAAACTTCCAGTGTTGGAGCATTCACCGCTTCTGGAGGAAGGT